CTTTTAACATCCCCGCCAACGTGAGCGGCACGCATTAGTCTAACCGAAACTGTCTGGATCGCTCCCCCCTCCCCCCTGTCTTGCGTCCCCTCTTACCTCAGCTACATTCTCCTCGTCATTTGCTCAGCTCTTGTCATCAAATAGTTTTCAAACGTGGATCTGCTATTTTCTGTTTATTTCACTCTAACCCTTTTAATTTGCTTTTACACGCAACTTTTTTCCCCCAGTTCTCACTCTGGCTACGTCAACCTCTACACGTGGTGGTCGGTAATGGACGGTTCGAAAGCACCGAAACCCTTAAAATCAATAGGCAACCTCACGACCGCTGTCGATCAACTCCTCTTTCACCCCAACAACGAGATGCTCTGCATGGCTTCCAGCCTAGAGAAAGCCGCTGTCAGACTGGTGAGTTTATGGTATTATCCTGCAAATTTAAATTTGGCCTCAGCTTAGCATGTTACATTTGCGCTACTGTTGACCCTATTCTCGAAAGCAGTACCTAGCGCCATCTTTGGAAGTCCAAATCATTTCCCGCAATCCTTTCAGTAAGCCCCTCTGCCCATTAAGATGCACTGGAACATTCAATTTAACCTTTGGAGCTTCTAAGACATTTTGTGCTTAAATTTCCTCTTCCTAGTATCCAAATGATGCTTCCCTCTAATCGAGTCGTGTGAGCCTAGGTATTTCCGCATAAATTCGTTTTTTGCGTCTTGTTTGCGCTCTTTTTTACAATGCCATCAGACTGCTATCGGCATCTGATACCGTTTCAAGGTGCTTTCTTTACTGAGCCGAAAAATTGAAAACTATCCTACTAATCTTGCGCGGTAATTTAGTGTCTGGAGCGCACGTTTGCAATTAGTTTTTTGCCCTTGGGCAGTGTTACCATCAACTCTCCCTCTCCTTCCTTGCTGTTTTTTTGTTGTTGTTAGGTGACTGTCTGCGAGGGTTGTGTACTGCAGCTCCAGGGTAGAAGGAAAAGCTAGTATTCCCTTCCGCGGTTGGACCGCACCTTTGAACTTCAGATTCTCCCCGGCATCTGGTTCTTGTTTCCGCTTTTGCTCAAAGTTAAGGACTGCGTAAATTCGGTTACATTAGCGTGTTAAGTGCAACTCTTCCCGTTTTGAGAAGAAATAGATCTGACCAGAATTTTATTCGCCTGACGTTTCGAAATCCGTCCTGGATCCATCCACCGTCAGAGACAATAGCAGAAACGGTTAATTCATACACATACAAGGAGTTGCGATATTTATAGAATACAGTCACTATGCTACTGCACACGTAGGACAAATAGCGGCTCCCCTACCGAGGCTTATTGCCCGCTTGCGCGCTGATTGCTTGATGGCCGACGTGCGGCCCGTCACATGCTAGAATTGGGCGTGATGATTGCTCGACTATCTGGCTCCCTGGCGCCGGCGTTAGACAAAGCTTTGGCCTGTGCGTTCCCCATGTGGCAAATTATTTTGGCCTAACTGACCCTAGCACCGACTATGGGTTGGGCAGGTCGTTGCTCTTGTTTGTAGACTGGGGACCCATTAACCATGATCTAAGTAACCGTTGACTCACGCGATTGTCACCTCTCACGAGAATGTCGATCTCATCAAAGTTGAGCGTGTGGCCGGGTGTCGTCGAATGGGCCGCGACTTGAAACTTAGCGTTGTTTCTCCGCACTGTCGCCGCGTGTACGGCAATTCGCGTCTTGAGAAGTTTTCCAGTTTCTCCTACCTAGTTGCTTTTTCAGCAACTGCATCAGATCCTACAGACAACTCCAGCTGTTTCCTGCCATGGCAGTGGGTCTTTTGGGTTCATTATCTGGTGCCGTATGCGATTCCGACGCCAAGTAGTGCGAGAAGGCGGTCGACGGCCTCTGAGACGTTTTTCTAACGTTGAATGTTCTACTTTGCAAATTTCCTTTACTAGTAACTGAAATAAACTTAGTTTAAGCTGTGCAAGTTTTCAGTGCCGAATCATTTTCAGTTTGTTTTCAACGTTTTTCAAGTATTGATTACGAAATACTATCGACAACAAAACCCGGAATGACAATTTATGACTCGTTTACTATATTCAGCCCGCACTAGGACCCTGTTACTCAGTTATTTTCCAGGTTCTTGCTCTATGGGCTGCATTCAGGAACGAGAAGGCAGCATAACCGCAAAAACTAGCAGTTACTTAAGGATTCCTACTTTTGAAGTCCGCGTTTTTCCAATCTCCTGCAAAATCCGCACTTACGAAAAATGGCTACTTAAGCGTGATTTTTTTGCCATCGCATTTCGATGCCCTCATAAATCCAAGCATATTTCTTAAAAAGAATGCTCGGCAAAAGTAGTTTATGTAGGCCCACTCATATAATCCTAGTGCCAGCGTTTTGTCCCACAAAAACGGTGGTTATGGAGTTTTGGGGGGTAGGAAAATAGAATGGGCAGAGAAGGAAATTTTTAGAAGTAAGTGTAAAGTGAAAAAAATGTAGTCGAAGAAAGGAAATTTTTAGAAGTAAGTGTAAAGTGAAAAAAATGTAGTCGAAGTTGCCTCCTGCGGCCGCTGGGAGTAAGTTGTTCCGCATGTAAATTGAGGGTGTGCGCGGCGCTTTGCGCCGCAGACTATACTAATCTAACTCCAGAACGGTAAGTTGGACATCAGGTAAGTGGAAGTAGACGACCTCCTAACCACCATTTCAATTTTTCGGGAAATTCAAGAAACCTGCAATTGGATAATCGGGTTTTTCCGCAGTAAGTTAAACGATAATACAGATAAGGCAGATCTACAGATATAAATCAACAACAACTCTAAATGCAGTAAAATAATGCATTTATTATTTATTAAAGTATATTCCACTACGTGTGCTAATTCCCCACCCATAAAACCCTATAACCACCGTTTTTGTAGGAAAACATGCGGGCAGTAGGGATTAATGAGTGGGCCTACATAAGCTACTGTTACCGAATGCTCAATACATCCCTTCATGCACCCATTTCGTAGTAACGTACTCGCCAAATCGGTATCTGCCAGTTTTAAAACGTTTAGTGCCCAAATAATTTTGAATCCGGCCTACTCTTGTATTCCCTTCTACAATACAGACTGTGTGTGTTATATTTAAGAATAATTGTACATTCCTCTACGTCAATAAGGTGCCATACATAGCTGGCAAATATGTGCAATAGCTATGAGCCGCATTGTAGAATACGGTGATACTTGAATTGACATTTCGCGATCCAACTAATCTCATTATTGCAAGTTTTTTTTTACGTGTGACGAAAGCTTTGAAAAGACATTGTTTACTGCAAAACGAAAACAGGCAAGACTGTATGTCTGCATGCTTTCATTAAAAGATGCCTGGATTCATAAGGACATCTGGAAAAGTCCATCGCAGCATCGCACACCTCCTAAGTAGCCCATTTTCATGCGTGAGGTTCACGCATATAAACGCCAGTATCATGGCGTGATTG